TTCCCTACAGACTTGTGGTGCTGTGATTATACACCAGTTGCCAGTCACTGTTGGTCTTCTCCCCCAGACGACCTCCAGGAGATGATGTTGCTTACTAGTTAAGAAGTTACCTCTAGAATAATTTTTTCAGGCCTCATCATGGGTCCATTTTAGCTTGCAACAAGTGGGCTAGTGTGCAGATCTGAATTTTGGTGCTCAAGTTTGCCTCTGTGTTAGGAACACCAGGTAGCTTTTGAGATGTGTATATCTATATGTGCGTGGGTGTGTATGCACTTATATAATACATGTGAAGGCTTTTCTTCTGAAGTCTGAGTGATGATGTGATGTTGTGGCATAGCCTCTTCCCATCTTCATGACTAGACCTTCAGTCTCACACAATTTGCTGTGAGCAGCTGTTCTGTAATTGCAAACCCAACAAGGCCAATCTGTGAAATAGTTATCAGATCTGAATGACAGTTACTGTTTGTTTTCTTTTTTCTAAAAGGTGTGGTCATTGTCAAAGACTAACCCCTGAGTGGAAGAAAGCAGCAACAGCATTAAAAGTAAGTTTAACCTTTCAAATGTGCTTGTGGCAATGAATTGAGGAGAGTTTGGCTGTTTGTTGTCTGGCTTGGGAACACGGAGGTGAGGTTTGGTCCCCAAAACCATATTACTTTAATCATACTTGTCCAGCCAGAGAAGAAATCGGGATTTTTGTGGGTTTTTCTTTTTTTTTTTTTAAAAGAAGCCATTGAATTGTAGAGGAAGCAAGTCCATTCTGTCCCTGTGAATTCCCATTACTGTTTTCCAGGACTGCTTTTAACAGCACCAGAAGGCATTAGAATCCAGCCGTCCCCCAAAATAGCATGTTTCTCTTTTCTTCCTTGCTGTCCTGTCACCTGCCTCTGAAGTATGGGAACAGCATGAACTGAATATAGGAACACAGCTTTGTAAGCTATAGGCGATGAGTATTTCTTTAATTACAGAAAATTTGGTTATGTAGCGATTTGCTGAACTCTTGCCTATGCAAAAAGTATTCCCCTAAAAAAAAAAAACAACCCACAAACAAAAAACCCAACCAAAAAAAAAACCCAAACAATTTAAAATTTAATTTGTCAGGGTGAAGAAAGAAATGGACATATATGATGTTCTGTTGTTTAATGCTTCTCAGGGGATAACACCTCTCTTCTAGTGACTGTTTTCTTACTTTCCTAGTAACTCTCTCTCCAGCACGCACAGAGTATGAAATGTGTTAAGTCATTGTAGAAGTCTTGTCTTAGTTGTTGGTTTTTATTTCCACAGGGTGTAGTGAAAGTAGGTGCAGTAGATGCAGATAAGCATCAGTCCTTGGGTGGACAGTATGGAGTCAGAGGGTTTCCAACTATCAAGATATTTGGAGCGAACAAAAACAAAGCAGAGGATTATCAGGGTAAATGTGATGCTCTTTCACATGTTGCATGCCTAAAAACCTCTCTGAATACAGTAATTATGGTTGCTGCTGTTAATGCTGTCTTGTGTGGTGTTTCCTTCCTGTCTAGTGCTTCTAGTAACTGAGAGACAGATGGGTGGGACTTGTTTGACCAAATTGTGCATGTCTTAGCGTGGGCTAACAGTCCCACCTGCAGTTTGTAGTTGGTGAAGGTTGATAGGCAGTTCCAAAGAATTATTCCTTTCTTCCTGTTTACTGGGAGCTTGCCACAGTCACCCCCCATCAGATAAGGTAGTTAGTTAAAAAGTGGAGTGAAGTCAATCCTGCTGCTTGTGTTTGTCAGTGTTGTCCCATCACTAGTACCATATCACTCATAGTCCAGTCCTGCTTTTCCTGAAAAATGCTTCGGGTGAGGGCATATTAAGTTTGTAATTAACTCAGGGGCCTACCTTAAACTGGCCTTTTGATGCTTTAAACACTGATTTTGCTGTGTTTCAGGTGGCAGGACAAGTGACGCCATTGTTGATGCTGCTCTAAGTGCTCTTCGGTCCCTGGTGAAAGACCGTCTTAGTGGCAGAAGTGGAGGATATAGTTCTGGGAAACAGGTATTTGAGGGAATGTGTGGGTTTGTTTTCAACTGGAGACTGTGCTGTACAGGAGATCAGGGCTTGTGCTCCTGACTCTGTTGACAGAATAGTTGAAGTTGGAAGGGACCTCTGGAGGTTGTCTAGTCCAGCCCCGCACCCAGTGCAGGGTCAACTAGAGCAGATTGCTCAGGACTGTGTCCCATCAAGTTGTGAGTGTCTCCAAGGACTGAGACTCCACACAAACTGCGTTCTTTGGGCAACCTGTTCCAGTGTTTGACCACCCTTACAGTAGACAAGTTTTCTTTTATGTTTAAATGAAATTCTTGTATTTCAACTTACTTTTTGTCCTGTCACTGGGCGTTGCAGAGAAGAGGCTGCCTTTGTTTTCTTTACTCCCCTCCACTCAGGTATTTATGTACATGGATAGGATCCACACCGAGCCTTCTCTCTTTCCAGCTGAGCAATACCAGCTTTCTCAACCTCTCATCACACATCAGATGCTCAAAGCCCTTAATCAGCTTTGACCCTTGGCTGGACTTGCTCCAGTGTGTGCATGCCTCTTATACTGTGGAGCCCAGAACCGGGCCCAGCACTCCAGATGTTTCACACAGTGCTGAGCAGAGGGAAAGATCACCTCCCCAGACCTGCTGGCAGCTCTCCCTAAAGCAGCTCAGGAGGCTGTTGGCCACCTTTGCCACAGGGGTGCATTGCTGGCTCATGTACAACTTGTCCACCAGGACCGTCGGGTCCCTCTTTGAAAAGCTGCTTTCCAGCTAGTCAGTCCCCAGCATGTACGTGTGCATGGGGTTGTTCTTACCCAGCTGCAAGACTTGGCATCTCCCTTTGAACTTTGAAGTCCCTGTTAGCGGCATTCTCTAACTCATTGAGGTACCATTTGCCTAATCCTAGTCTAAGCTACATGGATGAGTTGTTTTTTAATTTGATAGTGTTCTTCTGAAGTTGGTTTGCTGGATTTCTCCCTGAAGGCAAATTGAAAAGCTTCTGGCTCCTACTGCTGTTTCTAAATCATGGAGCAAGTATGCTCTGACATCCTCAGGTTGGCCAGATAAAAGACCTGGGTGGGCTGTACCCTGTAGTGTGTATTGCACTCACATGTTTGTTTTGCCTGGAAACCAGGGCACGGTGGGGAGGGGGGTCTGGAGAGCACTTTGTTCTTGGACAGATCAGAGCATGAAGAACTAGGGAAGTGTTCCCACATCTCCCTGTTAGTGAGTTTGACCTGATTTATCTTTTTTTTTTTTTTTAGAGAAGGTTCACTTGCTGTTTCTTGAAAGTGCTGTGGGAGTAGGCTATGTGTATTGTCAGTTCTAAAATGGGAAAGTTGTATGACCTAACGCTGCCTGTTTTGTATCTCATTCAAATAAAAACCATTTGGTACGACATGACACACAGGAGATGGCTTGTGTGGGAAACCAATTTTGGTTACTTCTTATGTGAGAGTCTGTTTGTTTCTTACAGAGCCGAGAGAGCGGAGGTGGAGATAAGAAGGATGTGATTGAGCTGACTGATGACAGCTTTGATAAGAACGTCATAAATAGTGACGATGTGTGGATGGTGGAGTTTTATGCCCCATGGTGTGGGCACTGCAAAAAGTACGTGAGGTTTTTCTTTAACAATTCAGTTCCCATTAGTGCTTGTTTTTGTGCCATACTCTGAATCCGCTAAAACGGACCTTGCATCTCTGGTATATCAGAAGTAGGGTTTTCTGTAAGGTGTTTTAACAAAACTATGTGGACTTCTCCTGCTCAGTGCACCTTGGTGCTGCTCTAGCTGCACTCCTCCTTAGCAGTAAAATTCCAAGTTACCAGTGGAAATAAGATCCAGAAGTTTATATCAGCCTCTTCATTCAGATGAAAGACTTCAGTCTCACTTGGAATAACCCTCCTAGCTGTCATTCTCTGCAGAGACTTTATTTTTTCTTTTCCTGAGTGGAGTATGCTACATAATGTTGGAATGTGGTATGCTTTTGCTAGCTCCGAGAACTTGGAGCACTCATGCTCTTTGTTTTTCAGCCTGGAGCCAGAATGGGCAGCTGCTGCCACTGAGGTGAAGGAACAAAGGGAAAAGTCAAGCTGGCTGCAGTAGATGCAACAGTCAATCAGATGCTGGCAAGCCGATACGGGGTGAGTGTGCTCTGCAGTGGTTACAGTGTCCATCTCTAGTAAGTCAGATTTCCCTTCAGTGCTTACTGAACTGTTCCTTAATCTGGTACCACTTAAATGTGTTGTGCTAAAAATAATGTGAAGTGACACATACCACTTTGCCACAAATAATTCATTCCTGAATGTCAGTAACAATACAAATAAATGAGGTGAGAGGAAAGGAATAAATCTGGATGTCGCTGATGTAAAAGGCTGTTTATTTCCATAAGGTCTTGTGTAGCTTTATCACTTGAAGTGAGAGGTCTCTCCTTTCAGACTGTTTGTGTGCTGGCTGGGCATCTCCAGAACACACACATGTACCTGTACATCTTGGAGCCAGTAATCAGGGATCACTCTGACAGTATTGGCTGCCCAGATCAGCTATGGCGTGGGCCCAGAGTGAACTGATAGTCTTTAATTTTTAATACAGTACAGGGGGCTTACAGTGTGCTGCTTTGTTTCCCTGTAAGTGCACATGGCTCAGCGGCAAGACTGAGCAAGTTTTACTGGAAGCGTAGCAGAGGGAGCTTAAGGTCCGATTGCTGCCATGTAGGCACAGTGCTGTCTCCCCACAGACAAATCGGGAAAGTAACATTTAAGAAATACAAATTAAGATAGTCCTCCTGGTACTTAAACCTGCAGTGCTTGGTGCGTCTATACTGATATGAAACTTGGTGGTTTGTCAGGCCTAAAACCTGAAACAGTGTTTCAGTGTATGTTAGCCTTGTTTTGAATTGTTGCACAAGTAGGAAGCTACAAAATTGTTCCAGTTCAGTCATAACATGCTGTGAGACTTGATTCGTGGAGATGTTAAATCTCTTCCCTTTCTCTTAATCTAGAATACATCAGAGTAGCAGATAACTTCCACCATAAATATTCAGATTTATTTGAGCTGATGGCTGAAACTTGTCTTGCAGATTCGTGGATTTCCCACAATTAAAATCTTCCAGAAAGGAGAAGACCCTGTTGACTACGATGGTGGCAGAACTAGATCTGATATCGTTGCTCGTGCTCTGGATCTGTTTTCTGATAATGCCCCACCACCTGAGCTCCTGGAGGTACCTCTACGTTATTTTCTCAAATTGCTTTTCCATCATATCCTTTGCAGCTGTTTTTACAGGACTACATTAACTGTAAATAGAAGAGCCTAAGTGTGCTGCTTGCATACTGTTTTGCAGCAGAATGTCAAGGATGACAAGTCTAATCATTCAGCTGTTATTTAATTTTTACTGTTAATTTGTTGTTGACTGAAAGATTATCAGAGTTGATACAGTGAAGGCACTGACAGGATGGTACCAGGGTGTCTGAATCCTCTCTTGAGGAATGAGTGAAAAGGTTGGGTTCTGTGCCCCATCTTTTTTTCTTACAACAAGAGGGCAGGGTTTTGTCATTTTTAACCTGTCAGTTAGAAGTTGCATGATGTCTAATCTGGCTTTTTGTCCAAAAAGCTCCACTCTCTGTATAGTGACTTCTAGTTTCAGCTTGATGTTGGTAGGTGATCAGTTGTTTCCAAACTGGGGTGCGTGTAAGACAATCCATTGGGGTGCAGGAAGAAAAAAAATTTGTACCACTAATAAATTAAAAAAAATATTTTTAAATGGTGTCTACTTCATCTTTGTCACTCCTTTAAAATGTCTATTTTCTGTACGCCTTATAATGTACATAATGTTAGTACAGTAGTACATGCATATAACTGCTATACATCTATTGGGGCTGCATGCTTAGATTTTTTTTTTTTTACTGGTAGTGGTGCACAATCAAAGTTTGGAGACCACTCGTGTAGATAAATGGATTGATTCCTTTTTAAGGTAGATCACACAAAACTGGTATTGCTCTGTTAATTAAATGTGCTCATCTTCAGCAAATGCTGCACCCTGCTGGCTCTCCTTATGCTAGCAGTACCATGAATGAAACCTACAGGCATATGCATAGCTCTGGGTGTGCTGTTTCCAGCCCTGCTCCAAGGACAGTGACTTTGAGCAAGAAGTGACATCTTCCTGTGCTCTCTGTAAGCCTTATTTGGTACCGCTTACTTTCCTGTTGCTGCAAGTCTCAACAGAAGACTTTGTGAACCCTTTGTCATTAGTCTTGTGTTGGTGGACCGGTGAAGTAGGAGAGACTCCTAAGCTTTTGTGTCAAGTTGTTTCAATGCTTGTAACCTTGTAGGATGGAGCTGACAGGCTGTTGCAGGGAAGTGCAGTCACAGCTGAGTAACCAAGTCTTATTGACTCTGCTGTTTTCTTCTAGATAATTAATGAAGATGTTCTGAAGAGTACCTGTGATGCTCATCAGCTCTGCATCATTTCTGTCCTGCCTCATATTCTTGATACAGGTAGACATAGAAGCAAGCAAACTTCTGTATGAATTTGTCACTTAAAGCATGTTAGTTGTGGTTTTTAACTTGCCCAATTCTGTCTAACAAACAGGAGCTTCAGGGAGGAATTCTTACCTGGATGTCATGTTAAAAATGGCTGAAAAATACAAAAAGAAAATGTGGGGGTAAGTGTCATTGTAGACTGGTCTTGGAAAAGATGTGAGCATTTTTAGAGCTAACGGGATAGAATTTGTATGATAGTGATTTATCTGCAGATAAGACTTGTTCCTGTTCAGGATAGTGTATCTTGGTATTTCAGTAACTGTACTGCAGGAGCGGATGCTGTGGCTTTAGAATAAACTGCTGACTTTTTTGTCTTTTCATCCACCTCTCAAATCCTGCATTTACAAGTGATATCTAAGCATTAATGAGATTAAGATTAAGCATCTTTTACTCTTGCCCTGAATGCTAAAATATTTTAGGGCAGTATTTATCCAGTTTCTTTTGGAGTCTTTTGCTGGTGGGTGACTTTGCCAGTATAACTATTGAATTCTCAAAAAAAAAAAAAAAAAAAAAAACAGTTTTATAAAAAATTTTATTCCCCCAAAAATAGCCACAACTACCTACACAGTGAACGCATAAAACTTAATGATTTGCAAATATAAATATTTAATTTCAAAAAAAAAAAAAAAAAAAAAAAAGCAGTTTACTAACAAATTTCATGCTCGCAAAGAAGCAGGCCAGCAGGCTTTGCCTTTTCTCCTCCTCCTCTCAAGTGGAGGTTAGGATCTCTGGGACTTCTCTGGGAGGTGCCTTGTTCTGGCACACTGACTGCTGTGAAAAGGAGGCAAAATGCCATGAAAGCCTGGGGGGAAATGCTGAGATTGGCTGGTTGCAGAGGTTCCTCAGGGGACTTGTTAAGCATTAGAGGAACTGAGACCTGACCAGTGAGGAACTAATACTGAGTGAAATACTGGTCTTGCAGTCTTTGGCCAGAAATCCTCTACAGGGGGATTTGGGCAGTACTTTGTCATGGTTAGAGCTGTGACTTGAGCCATTTTAAAACCTTGCTTAATATAGGCAAAAGTGCAGCAATTTGTTTGGTTTGGTAACATAGTTCTTTCCCTGGACTGTCTTTCATGGCTGTTCTTCCGCTCCAGCTTTCAGTGGCTGTGAACAGGGCTAGAGGTGCTGTTCTGGAGGGGCTTTCTTCTGTTACATGGTTCAAGATCAGGACCCTGCTATTCCCTGCTGATTTCAAACACTGTCAAGGGCAGTTCAGAGTCTAGCTTGAACTCTGCAGGGTTGCAGGATATGTGTGACTTCAAAATGACTGTAGTGCCTATCCTAATTATTCATTTTCTATTTTGTCTTTTCCTCAAGGTGGCTGTGGACAGAAGCAGGTGCTCAGTCAGATCTTGAGAGCTCTTTGGGGATTGGAGGCTTTGGGTATCCAGCAATGGCAGCTGTTAATGCTCGGAAGATGAAATTTGCTCTTTTGAAAGGATCGTTTAGTGAGCAAGGGATTAATGAGTTTCTCAGGTATGAAATCTTTAAGTGACCTAAATCTTTCTGTGACTCTTTAGACCAAAATCAGGATCTCCTGGATCAGACAAGACTTGTACATTAAGAGAATTAAGACGACGAGCATTCACTGGAATAAGGGAATGATTTCAGTGAGGATTGCAACTACTAAGGCAGTCTCTACCTTTTTGTGGCGGACAGAATTAAGAAGTTGGACATTTAGACTTAAATGATAGTTTTAGCACAACTTTTGAAAACAGTTTGAAAACAGAAGTGAGCTTTGATCTTGAAAAATTCTGGTTCTCTGGTAACCCAAGAAATTAATGGGATTTGGTAATCAATACTATTTAATTCAAATGGTGCATTCTGATTAGTAATTGGGAAGTTCTCAGTTTGGGAATCTGAATGGCTGTTGCTGAGGTTCTTGAGGTTCTGTATGTTTATCTTTCTGGTTTGGTCCAGTCCTGTCTTCTTCCCTATTCCCCTGGCATCTGATAAACTAATTGGGGGAGCTGAAGCAATCCATCCAAAAAGTCAATAGCTCTCTGCTCAGCTCAGGTTCCCTGGAGCTGCCTCTTGCGTAGCTGGGCAAGAGCCAGTGCTGAGAAAAATTGAATGGAGAAAGGAAATGGGGCGGAGGACCAAAGGTGGCAGCAGCGCTGAAACAGAGCAGCTAAACTTAAACCGTTACTTAGGCACGGTCAAAGCGAAGTGAGGACTCTGCTTCTGGGTAAAACACCAGTGGCCGTAAGGGGTGTAAGAGCCTTTGAGAGCTTATATTAGCAGTGTTATTTCCATGTCCTTGCTGGGAGAATGGCAAAGGACAGTCAGAATTGCAAAAGGAAATCCAACAGTCTCTCCCTGCCTTGCCATTAATTGAACCCTGTTCCTGCTGGATTAATGGAAACAGTGCTATGTTCTCTTACCTGTGTAAGCGATCAGACTTTCTTCTTAGCGCCAAAAAGGGAAGGTTCTTGGAGCATCAAGTACAATCTAGGATTCAGATGCAAGAAGAGTAATACCAGGCAGTCTGTACTAATGCATGCGAGAGAAATGCCTGCCTTTCTCAGACGTGGCAAATTATCTTGGTCTATAAAATCCATCTTAGTGAAGCCTCTCCTCTTGAGGGTGGATGATGCTTCAGGACACAACAGCCAACTTAACAGCTTATATTGCATTAGATAATTGGTTTGGTGTTGTCTTACTACAGAGCAATACTTGCTGGAATAATCTCTCACTTGACACTTCAGCTCAGCCGTGCTGCCTGGAGAAAGCAGTACAACCACATTTGGGGTGGCTGGCTGTTAACTTGGCTCACTGCCTGCAGCTTTTGTAATCTAATAGGCAGTGTCCACAGTATTGACCAAAAGTAAGGAAATAAGCACTGAGAAGAGCATAAAAATTGTAGACTCCACATAGGGAGGAATACTTACCTGGTGTTATTTGCCTCTGAAAGAATGCAAAGGGATTAGCTCTTCAGGATTTTAACGTTAGGCTTTTTGAGCAAACCTAACTAGCAAGTGCAAGATGGGGTGTCTCAAAGCAGAAGCTGGTTACCTTGTACCCACTGTAATCCAGGGAGGCTTAGAGTCCACTAAGAAAAGATCGCTAGCAATTTCAAGTAACGGTTGCAGTTGACTTCCAAAACTAGAATTACAGACTCCGTGGAGTTGCCTCAAGTGATACACAACATACTGCTCCAGGGGCTGTGTTTGGTGAGTGTTGCAAGGGGCACTGCTGAAATACGAAACAGCGTAGTTCATATAGTTTGTCTCTTCGGATCCAATTGTAAATTCACAATGCTGCTTTAAGGGCTCTTTTTAATTTTCTGCATCTCAATTTGAAAAGCTTTTGCTTCCAGACAGATTAGATTTGCTTCAAGGGATGCAAGCAGATTTCAAAGTTAACTTCCTCTTATCTGAAGCAGGCACTGTTCCGGGTGGATGGAGACTGGAGAAATTTCTTAAATTTAAATTTTACTTATTTTTTTCTCAGGGAACTGTCTGTTGGTCGTGGCTCTACAGCCCCCGTGGGTGGTGGAGCTTTCCCTAAAATTCATTCAGTTGAACCTTGGGATGGCAAAGATGGTGAGGTAAGAGGTGCTCCATCTCTAAAAGTGCTGATGATTTCCTAGGTTCAGAAGTGACTGGATAGAGTAAGCAATAACTGGCAATGTGAAAATTCTTGTTCTTCAAAGGTTGTGGCAAGTTGTGTTAATGGTTTCCCATTATCTAAATCAATGGTTTCCCATTATCTAAATCCTGCCACCAGACCAAACACCAGATTCATCATCTGACATTGTGGACAGATACTCCTGCCTAGCTGTTAGGATGCAATCTGAAAGTTGAATCCCGTGAGGCTGAAACCTGTTCTTACCCATGCTGAGTAAGGGAGGTGGTAGTGTATGCATTCAAGACCTGAACATTTGTGGAGACTTTGCTTCTGCAATATGCTGACCTTACCACCAAAGTCTTCATGTCAGAAAGTTTGTAAGCTAAAGCCCATGTAGTAACAGTGATTATGTTCTTCAGGTCCAACGTTGCTGTAAGAAGCGAAGTTACTACAATCCGTTGATCTGCTTGAGGTGGAATTAAAATATAGACTATGTTAGTAGCTTTGTTACATAGTTTATCTGTATTTGCCTTTATCTGGAGTTTATTAGTAGAAACCAACCTTCTAGTCTAAACTCTGATCACTTGTCCTGTGCTTAATACACTCTGAGTTTTTTTATGAATGAAAGAGATGATGGGCAGGAGCTTTACCCTCAGGATGCAGTAAGCATCTTCCCAAGTCAGTGATGTCCCAGTGTTAAGTGCTCCTAAACGCGTGCCTCAAAACCTTCCCTTTTTCACAGCTTCCGGTTGAAGATGATATTGATCTCAGTGATGTGGATCTGGATGACTGGGATAAAGATGAGCTGTGAGATCTTCAGGAAACTTCTTTTCTTGGGAGAGTTTGCGCAGCAGATTGCAACCTGGTTCACAATCAGATGGATATTCCAGTGGCCTTTTTATGGAGAAATAGCACGTGACGCGCTGTGCTATTTGATGCACTGCAGCAGTGAACTGTACGCATCTCCAAGAAAACATTGCAGAAATTCTATGAATTGTCATAACCAGTAAACTTGATTGTATTCTGTGTAACAAATATTTTGAGGACAACATGGATATTTCTTTGGAACACCTTAGTTTTTATTTTGTTGATAGTGTGCTGTTTGAGTGTTACTGGAGGCTGTTAGTGTAACCGATTTTAAATGTGATTTGATTTTTTTTTTTTTCCATGGAGGTGAAACCTGGTCAGCTTCTGTTTCAATTAAAGAATAAAACAAAATATTTTTGACACACAGTGTTAGTCTTGTATAGAGCAACAAAGGTGCAGGTGGTAAAAGCTATCCCACTCTGGATGACTCTTGAAAAATGAACTCTAGAATAGAGAGGCTGGTGCAGAGGGGAGTCCTAAACCACCCCCTCGCTGTGAACGATCTTGACGGTTTGGCCTAAAGCCTGATTCGAGGGACAATCTTAGTTTAAATGCTCTTTAGTCTTCCTTTTCCTGTTCCTTCTCAGGGGCTTTCTCTTTCTTTGTGCCAGACTTTGTAAGATCACTAATACAATGGAAGTGGGGTTGCTGCTGCTATGGGAAACAGCGAGAGCTGTTGGTCTCTTTCCCCCGGGATTAGCAGCGAAGCTTAATCCCCCTTTTAGGGCATGAGGATTTCCAGGTGCTAACAGAAAAACACCGCGGTGCTGTCTCCAGCAAATTGGATCTAATATTTCTTCACTTCCCATCTGGCATTGTTTTGATTGGAAATTGCTGTTTCCTTGGAAGGGGAATCAGGAATAGGGATGGTTGCTGCTGCTTTTTTAATAAAAATACTACCCTGTTTTGTTGCTCTCCATGTCTTGTGTATCGGTGTCTAGTGAAGTGACCCTCCTCATCAGCTTGTTTATAAGTAAGGAATGAAGGAACTGAAAGTTCCCCTTCCTTTCAAGGAAATAATATGGATATTTGTCATCTCATGTCTGTAAGAGATCGCCCGTAGCTCATCCCTATGCAAGGCAGCGCAAGAACCACGGCGGCCAACAGTAACTGGACTGCTGATGTGGTGCAGGAGCTGTGCTCCAACTCCAAGTCATCCCAGCAGATGAGATGTAACGGAGCTGTTCTAACTGAAATGTCTTAGCAAAAACTAAACTTTGAGTACTTGGGACTGTAAGTCATACTGCAGTAAGCTCCACAGCAATTTTGAGAATCTTTCTTCTTAAGCTTTTCTTTTTTTTAAATTAAAAAAACTAAAAAAACTTCAGGTTTTGCTCTGATGCTTTCTACTTTTTCTGTTTGGTTTGGTTTTTTTTAAGTTTGCTTCGTTAGAAAAACAGGAGTGTGCACACCTAGTAGATCCATTAGCCACCACACTTTTTAAATTGTTTTATTTCAAGTCCAATAGATATTCCATCTTTGTAACTTACCAAAAAAATAAATACTACCATAGTACCTGCTGCCTCTGAAATATGTTTTTGTAAAACTATGAACGAGAGATATTGAAGTCACTTGTAAAAATTACGGGAAGTGGTAGGAAGATCTTATGCAATTATCCTGCTACAGCATCTGCATTTTAATTTGACTTTCAGCAGCTAAAGATTTACGGTAACATTAGGGTCTTGAAAATGAATAGATGAAGCTTGAGCGATTTTTCCTTAACTGCAGTCAAGAAGACTGAGGTCAATCTTGAAATAGACGTAAGGATAGTATTCTTGATTACTCAGCTGCAAAAGAGTGTGACTTTAGTGCCAGCAAACAAACAGTCGCAGAGCTCCAAGCTACAGCGGGTTGCCTTTGCGCTCCTCTTCCGCAGGTGGAATGGAGTTTTGTATTTGCTCTGCTTAAGATGAGGAATTCACCACTGAGAATCTGGTGTTTGCTTGGTGGTGTCAGGCTGCCTAATGCAGCTAGCATTGAGAATGCGTGCTTGGCTGCAACTTCATGAACGTGTATCGTAGCATTTTTGTGTGCTTCAGCTCCAGAGCAACTCATTTCTTTCTCCCCCCTTTGTGCACTGGGAATCTTATGCTTGCTGGTTTAATGCCTGCTTGTTTATCCTAATTGGTTTATCCTAAATTGATTGTGCACTCAAGATGTGGGGAGGGAGAAAGCAAGCACTGCTGCTTGCTGAAGTCCTAGGCTGAGGTATTTAAGTCAGTGACAGCCTTTTACAGGGGACGGCGGTGTCACAGTCCTACCATTTAGCTCTGAATTCATTTTCCTTGCTTGTGTTGATCTGAATGTTTAGAGAAGACTTGAAGCTTTCTGCCTAGAGGAACTGACATAATTGAGCAGGCCTATTTCAGTCTGGTAGCTGAAAACATCAGGTGCTTCAACGGAAAATGTAAGCAATCTCTATGCATCTCCAGCATAGTCTGAGCCTACCTGTTACCCTGATCCAGTCTGTTACCCCCAAGGATTAGAGCTGCATCCCGGGATCCCAGCACGGCAAGGTGTGAGGAGCTGCTTGCTCTAGCCCCTGGACTGTGCAAGTGTTCATTTGGCCACACCGAGACAAGCTACAGCACGTGCAGCCGTAGTCCAAATACGTACATCCATTATACTTGCTGCTGCCACTTCATCCAGGTGTTTGAAGACCACGTTTAGGACATCTCTCAGGCGTTTTACAGACTTCCTATTTGGCTGCAGCAGCATTGCTTGGAAATTCACTGGGAGGCCGTACCTTGAAACACATCGACAGAGACGCTCACCTGCGGGAAAGGGGCTCACCTTTCTGCTCCCGCCCTTCTCCCTCTTCGGTCTCCCGGCACGCTGGCTGACTGTGCACTGCACTGCGCCACCTCACTGGTGGCGTGCTGCCTCCTCACCTGAAAGCATTCTCTTTTTAAAGCCAAAAATCAACTAAAGAGTGTCATTCTGTTTTCCGCTTCCCCGTAAGTGCCCCCAAAGAACTTTTTTTCATCAACTTTGTATGTCACCTTTTTTGTGGTCATCTGTATTGTCTCCTGTGAGCTTCTGGAGGGTGATGTGTAGGGGTTGTTCCCTCCCAGGAAGGAACTGCCCCAGGAAGACAGCTGTACGTTTTGACTTCGACAGGAATCTCTGCTGGCACTGCACGTTTACCCACTTACCTCAGGACAGATTCAACAAAAACCCTCAATGCTTTCACGTGAATCCAAGCCACAAATGCTTCGCTGAAGTTCACTTTCAGCCAGCGCAGTAACGGGCCCTACGAGAACAGAGACAACGGTACTGTGATCCCCTCGCTGCGCGAAGCGGCTCCAGAGCTGCCACCACTGAAGCCATCGTGGGCTGCCGAGATAATTCTCAGGCAGCCTGTTAGTGGCTCCCAGTTTATCAGAAACTTGAGTAACATCGGGCAAATTGTGTCATCTATCCTGTGCCTCAGTTTTCTGGGCTAAATGGGGCTCACAGGAGTCTGTTGGAACCACAAAGCCATTTCTGAGTGAGAGGTGCTTCGGCACGCTGGTAGCAAAGGTTGTCATGGGGGCCATCGACTTGATGTGCTACTTACGTATTGTTGTTTCTTATCGGAAGCTAATTTCATCAGCTCTTCCTTTTCACATTTCAGTTCCTTCTCATCAAAATAAAATTCTCGAACCATGAACCTACAATTGAATGAGATTTGCTCTCACAAGCCATAGTCCAAGCAATATGCGCGCTCATTTCTTTTGCCTCTGGAGAAGCGGATACGGGATGTTTCAAAGTTGCTAGCCGTTTAACCAGGTAAAGTATGCAGAGGGTGGGAGTTGAAGCCACCCCCAGAAAGCAAGCTTCCTGCTGTCAGTAGCATGAGCGCAGGGAGGACAACTCCAGGATCCGTAGTTTGGTGCTTAAACAGGATCACTGTATGCCAGTGCTGCTGCCACAGCTCCTTCTCAGTGGCTTCAGGGCCAGCAGCAGCCCAAACAGTAAAGAAGTCCTAAAAACCAGTGATGGATTCAGCTGTGCTGCACACAGAACAAGCCTCACCTTATCCTCATCATCTGTTTGCTAGCCTGCCCTGCCTAGCACTCAGCGCTTCTTACCTGTTCTCCCTGGCTTTAGCCTTGAAGTCATCCATCACTTTTCTAAACAGCGTCACGGTGAAGAGTCCTCCGTCTGCATCCTCAGCAATCATTCTGTGGGAGGGAAATTCACTGCTGGGATTTGACATGGCAAATCCCCCATCCTTTCTTTACCTTCCTCTTTTGCAGTTCTTTTTTTCATTTATGGTACTGGACAACACCCTGCTTGTCAAGAACTGCTGTGACTGAAGTAGGGAACAAGGACTTCACTAGCACCAGCCACACGATCTCCAATGTAAAACTCCCACGAGATAAGTTCCTGAACCCATCGTAGTACACGCACGTTCTGCCTGCCTGATTTCTCTATGTTTCCTGGTAATGTTCCCCCACTTTCCATGCACGAGTGTTTTTGAGACAGGCAGTAGCACACAGCTTGCTTCTTTCTCTGTGCTCTCTGCTTCTTCCATTTTGGATAGCAGCACTGTCACCTCTTGTGCCCTAGATTGGACCTCATGGTCTGTGGGAGCTGAGCAGTGGTGTACTTAACTCCTGGGAAGGATTTTTTTCCTCCAGGTAAAAAGATAAATTACTATGGCATTTGCTAATGCAAATGACAGTACACTGAATGATGCTGTTCTACAGCAGGAAGCAATTAAAGATGCAAAGATAACATTTGATCTTTGTAAAAAGTAGTTTCCATAACATTGTATGTGATTGCATGTGTCTGAATTATGCCTGAATTACTGTAACAAATTGTTTGTCTGTTTTACACAAAAAGCAAAGGCCCTGGTTGAAAGTAGAAAGAACTGCATTACTGGAAAAAGGAACAACAAGCTAATTGTAAAAAAAAAAACAGTGACGATTTTTTTTTTCTTTCATCTGTACTTCCCTTCAACAGAGTAATTTCTGATTTCAAGTGAAAATGAGATTGGGCAAATCTGTATGTTAACATGGAGCCCATGCGTTAGACAAGTGATTCCTTCCAGGATCCAGCAATTTGAGGGGCTGAAATACGGCAGGGACCTCTGAAACAAACAGTGACCTTTATTTGGAATTTCACTTACTTGGTGGAGCGAGGCACTACCATATCGGAGAGGGATTCATAGGTCTTCTGCCACTGTACATAGCTTGACCTTTGAGCAACACAAAACAAAGCACAGTAATAAATACTATATACTAGAAAGCAAATGTGTCGATAAATATAGTTAATTAAGCTAATGGCTTAGGGTAGAAGGGTTGGAGCTCTTCGTGCTGGGTTATGTGATTAAAACACATTACGCCTTTCCTACCCTTTCCTCTCCTAGTCACCAGCTAGGGAGATGTTTCCCTCAATGCCGCACCCTCAATCCTCACTTTGGCTCTTGGCACGAGGAAGGGCCCAGAGCAGGAAGCTGATGGTGGGAAGATAGTGGCTTTTGGCACGTACTTCCAGGCTGCCACACAGCGTCCCACGCTCCAGGGCCCCTGCACAAGCTGCCCCGGATCCACGGGCAGGTGTGGTACATCTGCTATGTGCAATCCCAGAGCTGATCTGGTGCTACACTGCAAATAGGGCAAGTGCCAGCACTGGGAGAAAGGGGCCAAGGGGACAGTAAGAGTTTGCAAAGCGAGAAGTTTGTTTATAGAGGGAATCTGAAAGAATGTGCTGATAATAAACTCAACAAATTTACTTCAGATAGCTTTTTGTAACATGGTTTTCACAGACAGAAAAGTGATGGTACTGTATGCGTGTGTGTTGGGACAGGGCTATCCAGAGAGGAAAAGTTTTGTGTAGACTTCTGAGGACATCGTGTAACTTCACAACTGATGGTGATGGCAGTCATCCTACATGCAGGTACTTACGAATACACAACCAGCAGTGGCCTTCTGAGTTTGACAGGTCTAATTCCTTTTTAAACTGGCTAAGCTAAGTAAGAATCTGTTTTTCTCTTTTTTTAACTTTTACTATTCCTACTAGGAGGCTGTTTGAGAACCCACTCTGTAACAGTTAACCTACATCCCGTTTCTGTCCTGCTCAGAGTTCAGAGCACTTTTTGTCTCTTTTCTTTTGTGCCAGCACCACCCTTGGCGGAAGCTGTTCTTTCTCTTTGCCGACAGCTCCACCCGTGCCCCAGCCACGGCACTGATGAGCTGCCCCAGCCTGACCCAGTATCGCCTGGATCCGGCGCTTGGGCCTGAAACTCAATGCCACATTGAGCGCGCGTGCACGCACTATTGCCTTACTTTGGCACCACGACGAGCAGCGTGATAAGATACTCGGAATTCAGAACAAAGTCTTCTTTATGCACGATGTCTGCTAGGGTCCGAGTCAGCAGATTTCCCCTACGGTGAAGAAGACAGAGAAAAAATAACATTAGCAGGAACCCAGCAGCAGCACACTGGAGGTATTGTGCTGTGGGTATAGTTGCTAATAGTGTATACTGGGGTAGAAGAAGGCCAGGAAGGAGGTGGCTAAAGGACATGTCTACACTTCTAAAATGGTCTTTTAGTTATTATTACTGCAACTAAAAAGAATAAAAAAGCAACTAATACTAATGGCAGAATATTGGTGACTAGCACTAGGCTAGTTTATGCCCTTTAAGTGAAATGACACCATTCTGTTGCTATTGTTTCTACAGTAAGGTTGTAGATGCTTGGGAATTGCACACCTGAAGTTACCACCCCGCTCCCAGTCACTGCCGCACCTTGCAGGAGGCACCTGCCTTCTCAAGGCTGCCTGTTGAGCTGCCTGTGTGACCATGCTGCAGTCAGAGCAAGCAATGCTAGTATGGACCTAAGCCACCACAGCAACCCTGGCACACCTGGACTGCCATGGACAAGCACACAGACACCTCCAGCTGAACGACAGCGGGAGCAGCAGGCTCGTGCGCAGGCGGGAGCTGCAGGAGGGGGTCTCTTCGCAGTCTAAGCCCACTTGATCACGTTAAGTCCCACTAGTGCTGCACACCTAGGAAGTGTAGATGGCTGGGGCTGGCCGGGCATGGCTGATAGGCACTAGGTGTGTATGGGAGGAGAGCAGCTGCCCTCTCTGTCACTGGGCAGGAGTGAAGAAGGACCTAAACCACTAGTTTTCGGTTTGAGGTCCACTGTGCCAGTCTAAACATTAATTAACTGGCCAGTAACATCTTCTAGATGTTTGTTCAACCCAGGCTAGCTGGCACTGGTTGACACCAGAGATGCCAGCATTTAAAGGTGGACAGGGTGGTGAGAGGAAGATCGACCTGGACACAAGATCTCCATTCTCCTCCCTCATCACCTTGCCGGAGGCCTGGCACTGCTCATGTTCCCCACACAGAGCTTCTGCCTCTCTCCAGGTGCTCAAAGCTGATGCGGAAGCTGGAGAGATGCTGCAGGAGTGGGCTGGGAATGCGAACAGTGCCAAGAACAGGGAAATGGGAGCTAATTTCCCCTTCTCCCTCCCGCCCATGATTATCCACATGCACACAGCCTGAGACAAATGTGTCTAACACTGTCTACACCAAGCTGGAAGCACAGGCCAGTGCCAGGAACTCAGCAGAGAGAGAGGGAGATGTAACTGTGATATGGCTCTGCTGACCCTCGTGGACACTGCAGTCCCCATCTTGAGCAGGTCTCCATGAGGGATAGCGTTTTTTTGACAAACTCATTCTGAACCACCACCTAGAAGTATTTTTTCTGTGGTTTCTGGTTGGATTCGGTGGAGTTGGTGCCAGGCATGCTTATTTTAGCTCCACATTCAGAACAAAATTCCAGCCACCCTGGGGTTTGGTTTGAGCTCCTGTGAGTATCTTCCTTGAGTAAAGGCTGGTTTCTAGGCAGGCTGCCAGCCTGGCTGGCTGCAGTGCCAGGAAGGCAAGGACCTACTACCTGTGTCCTGTGCCCAGAGCAAGGGGCCTGAGTAGGAAAGAGTGGACCAT